GCCACCCCCTGTTCGATCTTATCTGAAATCACCCAGTGTTAGGTAAATGATTGGATGAAGGGAGTTGCAGTCGATACCAAATCACTGCTCGAGCACAGCCTTCGTCGTCCTCTTGTTCGGATCCTTTTCTTCCTCACAACATTGTTATTGCTTACACATTCTAATCAGAGACGCCCGCCGTCGAAATGGCCAGAGCAGCTGTTTGGGTTAGATTTTTATAGTTACATATGCGGATCGCTTTGGATCCTTCTTCATCGATAAAAATATAGTTTTTGTTGTTGTTCTTATCATTATCTTCGGTGTTCCACGATAAAATATTAGTCTCTCATCAACCGCCTAACATTTGGGGACGCTGTCCGTTCCCGATCCACTGGATCCGCCGGGGATTCCGCGGTTCTGTCTTGTGCTCCTCGGCGAAGCATAGAAGGACCCCCTGACACCAAAACTAAAGTACACACGGGCAACCAAAATCCTGCACCGAAGTGACGTCCACGCGCAATATATCTGGGTCACGTGGTCGTAGCGAAGGTCAGACAGACAGCTTCATGCAGCAGCCAGAGTTGCCGGAATAACGATAGAGTGACGGTCATATCTATTTGGGTCCTGGAAATCGCCGTGACAGCTGAGTTTCTGGAGTCGCTTCGCTACATTCATTCGAGCATGTCCGCTTCAGTTTGGGACGTGAAGTGGTGATGCCATGTCGTTAGCATCTTGTTAGCGATGTAGTTGGAAAAAAGGAGTCGAGGCAATCTCATAGGCCCGCTGTTGAAGAGTCCACCCTCACTTGATACAGCGAATGTACCCGACCTTTTCCGAGGGGAAACACAGCTGCGAACCGAGCCAGGAGCACACATGTACGCGCTACTCAAAAAAAAAAAAAAAAAAAGGAATCGAGGTAAGCTTTTGCTCTCAAAAGTAGTTTGAGTAGACTAGAAATTACTTGAGCGGAAAGGAATTGAGTAAATTACTAACTACCGTAAAAAAAAGCGAATTACTTTCGAAGTTACTTTGAAGTTTAATGCACTGCCCGAGTTCCATTTTGCAGACAGTGTTTGCTTGTTTACACTGTGCGTAAAGTACATCTAAAATGTACTCGAAGTACAAACTAAATTAGAGGTTACGTATTTCAAGTAAAATAGTAAGTACACCGGGCGCAATGTACTTGAAGTAAAGTACTATAAATGCAATATAGTTTCAAAGTAAGGCAAGTACTTTTTAACATAACCTTTCATGGTGCCCTTTCATCCCCTATACGTTTTGTTTTAACTTTTTTTTTTTTTTTTATTTCACAATACTGCCAGCTTTGTTAAAGGGGTACTCCACCGATTTTTTGAGCTACCTCAACTAACTATATTTTCTGACTCCCCGGCCTTTACTCTCTCCGGTATGCTATTTAGAATCGCGAAATTCATAATAGTTATTGCGAAATCGGCAAATGAAAATGATGCAAAAACCAACATTCAAATATACGCGCGCTTTTCAGGGCCGTGACGTCAGTGGCAGGCAGGCTTGCCAGTCGAGCAAGCAGCCAAAAAATAGAATATGCCAATCATTTGTTCCGTGCTGGAGCGCGGGTACTGCAGCGAGCTTCCCAAGCATTCATTTGACACCATGAAACTGCTTCGAATCAGTTTAAAACGAAATCTACAGCCCAAAGAGTGAACCCCTGCCTTCCACTTCATTGTTGCCAGTAGAGACTTTGAGCTTGAAAAACACGGTGAGGACCAAAACTGTAAAGTCAATAACTTCGCGAAAAAACAATATTTTGACCTAATATTTGGGATACTATTTTCGCGATGTTTGTTGGTTAGTTTAGCAAAATTTCAAGCAAATCGGAGACAATGAAAAAATCGGTGGAGTAGCTTACACCCTGCTTCGTATTATCCACCCTGCTTTGGCCTTTAAGGGCCAAAGCAGGGAGGATAATACGAAAACAAAGAATGTACACTGCGTTCTGTACATCGCACACGTACACACACACAAAAAAAAAAGCCGGTGTTACAAATCCGTTTACAAAGGCGTGCCAGAAACACACACACACATATATATATATATATATATATATATATTTTTTTTTTTTTTTTTTATTCAAACAACACACGTAGAGCATTCTCGAGATCGGAAATCGACTCGAGAGCAACAACAGCAGCCTGCACAAAAAATGATTGTTTACGCATAGCCCCCGGAGGTTGTCAAAAGTGTATCAGTTTTTTTTTTGTTGTTGTTGTTGTTGTTTTTTTTGGAAATGGCGGCGAATATTGGACAAAGTCAAGTCGCTACAGAGTAGCTGTTTTACTCTCGCTGGCGAACTATTTAACACAATCAACTTATAACACACTTATTTGTGCCTTTCTTATAACCGCCATTAACTCACTCACAGAAATGACCAGATGACGTCTCGAAAGACGATAGCGCGTTTTTACATGACGATATGCCATTTCTAGTTTTGAAATTCGGAGAATGTACTTTGAATTCGGGACTTTTACCTTCCTCGAAAAGTACCACAAAAATACGTAAGTGCAAGTACATATGCTCAGGGAATGTAAGTACTTCTAATAAAATACAGATTTTCTGAACCTACTTTAAGTACTTTAGTACCATGCACTTAAAGTACTTCATGTACACTCGAGCGGCGTTGAAGTTGCCGAGCCACGTGTTTCTTCAATTGTTTGGAGTTACATATGTCGTTCCTATAGTTTACTTTAGGACCAAATTCACCTAAAATTTGCCCTTCATACAGGTGTACTCGTCAAGATCTGCGCGGTGAAAGCGTTGAATTTTTAGTTTATTTTTACGATTAACCTGTAAAAAAATTAATCGCGATTAAAGCAATAATTGATCAATTATTAAGTTAATGGATCAATTGCACAGGCCTGCTAATTGCCGAAATAAAAATGTAATGGAAAGTTCCTAAACTACCCAGAAAAGTAGTTCAACTACATTACCTCGAGTAGATACGTACACGTCTGGCAAGGATTAAACGAGCTAGCTCATACTGCGGCCGAAGCTCTGAAATAAATCATTCCCTCCGGTTTATTATCGACACTGTGTCAACGGCCATCCAGGTTGGTATTTCTAGGTCTGACGCGAGAGGCCTCCATAATTTAAGTATGCAGCCGAGTAAACAGGCTCAGATAAGTGCTGTCATAATCGGGTACTTGCATCTGGTGGGCGATGAGAACCATTCACTCGAAAGGAGACCTACTGAGGGCGACAGCCGCCGTTTGGCAAAGACGTCTCCTGCAGGCCCATTAGCCTAGCTTGTACCGGGCCAAATACGCTCGCCTCTACGTCTTTTTCCCAGATCGCCTAGTCGTCGTTGCGTTTGACGGGAGGCGGGCAGCGCGCACGTGACCTAGCAGTCGAGAAGCCAACGACCCGTCTGCCTGCAGGCCTTCGAGCTCTCCGACAGACGCGCTTTTCCGCATCAGCGACCTCGGCAACGGCGCTCGCTCCGGCGCAACAAAGAGGCCCGTCGCTTCCTACATCGTATCATCGTGAAACTGAAGACTGCGCCACAGCACTCGAAGTTTCAACCCCGCAGACAAGGACCGAAAATGCAAAGACGCGTGCGAGTTGAGTCGAGTTACGGGTTCAGCAAGGGCAACTCGGCTCGTCTATGCATTATGCGCGTTTTCTTGTTTTTGGTCGAGTCTGATCGTGCCTGTCTGTCCTCCGAAAGCGGGCTGCTGCTCAGTGGGACGAGCGATGTGCCAACGACAGGCACTTCGCCACGCCTCTCCGAACAATGCTGTGAAATTCGGGGATCGCTCGATTCGCCGCTTTGAGCGATCCCCGACAAGTCGCGCTGGCCTGACCCAGCGGCCACAGAAATGTGTCACTCTCCAGTGTGCGAACGAAAGCAGGATCACCGCGATTGTTGCGTACTACGCATCTCGTGGAATACTGCGTGGAATGCCGTCCAGGCGGAACCATGTGGCGCGACCGATTATCCCCATTCATTCAAAACGAAATTGCGACGTTCGCATCACCGGTTGAGCTGATGAGTTGATCCGTTTCATCGACCCCCGCCGCGAGGGCTGGCTTCTCGCGCATTTGCTGTGAAACGCGCTTTGTAGATTGAAACTGACCCAACGTGGTGAAAATGTCTGTCGAGCTCGCGGGCCGAGATCGGAGTGCCGTTGCACGTATTCGTTTTCTTTGAGGAGAGCGCCAAGCGTTTCCCGAAGGGTTGCATGATATTTGACAGGACGGCTCGGAGCGGCGAGCCTCCGAACGGTTCCTCACTACGACGTGCAATCGGGTTATTCGTCCGTGCTTTTCGAACGAACGGGCGCGCGTAGCGAAATTCCGTACTGCGTGGCCGATCGCAAAACCACAGTGCTCTACGCTCCACGCAGATCGCCACCTCTTTGGCGATCCGGAGGTGACGGGCAGGCTTACGCTCGCGCCCGACTTTTTGCCGAAGTCGTACACTTGGCAGTCAGAAAGAGCGGGGAGAGCTGGAGTCCACTAACCTGGATCAGGTGAGGTCCACGGGGGCTGGAAACCCTCGACGTTGCCGTAATCCTGCGGCCTGGCGTACGGTCCGAGCTCACGTCCACTAGAGCACGGAAGGAATGTAGGGAACGAAAAACAAGTAGAAAAAAAAAAAAGAGGTCGTCTCAACGCAACGGCAACGCCTCAACGTTGTGACAGCCGCTCATTCACTTTGCGTCCAACAGATGGCGCAACATTCTTACTTGGCTAGGTGGCGTAAGCCACCTAGCCAAGTAAGAATGGCTAGGTGGCGTAAGCTACCGCCCGATCCAAAGGGCTCAGCCGTATTCATCCATCCATCATCCATCCATCTTGGCTCAGCTTCCTCTACGGGATTTTATTGATTTTTCGCTAACAAAGAATTACTTACAATGAAAACAATATGAAATAATAAACGCGAGAAAGTAGTTAAAATTTAAAATAATTGCAATATTTTTATAAATTTTTTTGAATTTTTATTTACCCTACTCTGATTGTTCTGGCTAGACCTGGCTGGTTTGTGGCTGGTTTGTGGCTGTTGTGTCTGGCTAACCGTTCGACTGTTTCCGCAACGCAAAGTTCGCGAAGCGATTCAAAATTCCCGAGTGTCAAAATCCCCCGTGGACAAACTGGGCAAACGGCGCCGACAACGGGACATCAAAAGCATCAGAACTTTGGGGAGCCATGAGCGAGCAAAGTGAAATGGGCGACTGCTTCTTATGGACAGATCACGACGCGAACGCTAGGGAGGCCGTGCTAGGCTACGCCAGGTCCAAGTGCCAGCCGAACAACGACTTCGTCGTCCTCGGCACAGAGTCCGCCCCAGGAGACGTCCGCAAACGCACGCTGCTGGGCTTCCTCGTCGAGACTCTGAGGCGTGCCGGGAGCTTCCCGAACGGTGCCACAACTGTGCTTACGGTGCCAGAGCACTACCTGGCCTTGCAGCTGTGCGTCGCCCGCGTCAAGCAGGAGACCGGGCCCTTCGACGCCACGGGCGGCGAGGTGCTCTTCAACGACTCGCAGTACCAGCAGCACCTTGCGGCGCCCGACGAATACCCGGCTTCCGAGTTCGTGCAGAAGTACGTGGATTTCCTGGCTCACAGCAACACGGCCAACCACTGGCAGGTCCTCGCCAAGTTCAGGGCGATCGTCGCCTCCGGTGGGGACGTCGGTGCGCGCCTCGCCAGGTGCGTCTTCTTCGTGCACGGGCCGGTGAAGTCCAAGTTCGTTCGAGAGTGCCTGACCGCCCTGTTCGAGGGCCGGCGAGTGCAGCTCTTGACGGCGGAGATGCCGCTCGACGTGAGCCTGAACGGGGGCTGCAACTTGTCCGACGTCAGCGTGAGCTCGGAAACGCTGCTCGGACCCGTGCCGGAGTCGAGCCCGACGGGGGTCGAAAGTGAGGCGGCGACCGACTCAATGACGCACGTGGTTCTCGCCTTCCTGCGCGTCCTGGTGAACAGCCGGGACGAAGTGGCACTGGCCACCGCGATGGCGTCTCCCGCCGTCCGCCTCCCGCACGACGCCTTCACGGAGCTCAAGCGCCTCTCCCTGGAGAGTGGGATGCCCATGTGCCAGACGGTCGTGTCGTACGTGCTCAAGGCCCGCCTGGGCGTCCAGGAGTGCGCGCTTACACCCTTCCTCTGCAAGCTGTCCGAGTTCGTCGACGTCCTTCACCGGCTGCAGACATTCGCCGAGGAAGAGGACGCGACGACGGCCGTCAGGAAAGCCGTGGGACTCCTAGTGTCTCGAGTGCGGAGCGTGGGAGGCCACGAACTCGCCTGGGACCGCGTGCTCGAGCTCAAGGCGGACCTGCTCAGCCTTGCCGAGAGTTTGGAGTTGTCGGGCTGCGAGGCCGACGGGGAGTCGGAGTGGGGGTCCGGAGGGGGTACGCTGCGAGTGCTCAGGAGCATGGCGGACGTCCTGTCGACGCGGAGGCTCTCCTACAACCCGACGTTCGTGCTGTACAACATGGACAGTCAGGGGACACCCCTCAACGTGCCGCGGATGCTCGACTACTTCAAGACGCCCGAGTCTCCGGAGGAAGTGGACGAGTACTGCGAACCACTCTCCAAGCGCATCTCCAATAAGCTCGGCGTGGAGTCGAGCTGCCCCCGGCGTGCGCCTGACGATGCCGTCCCGCCGACGCTGAGAGGGAGCCGGCCCCTGGCTCTGCTCAATGCAGAGACGAAGAACGCGAGGCTAGCGTCTGGTCACGCAGGTTCCGAGGCGCACCCCAAGAAACTGGCGAGTAAGACCAAGCGGAGCCTCATGCCGGAAATCAATGGTTCGGCCAAGAGGAAAAAAACTACCAAGACCGCAAGTTCCAGGCAGCTGCTTCCCAACCAAAAGACGATTACGTCGTTCTTCGTGAGGACCTAAGATTTCATCAAACCTGATATCATCGTCAACTTACGAGCGGGGGACTACCAGACCATTCGTCCATTGTGAATCTCTTGGCAGACTGATCTCATTATGTACAAAGTCCCACACAATATATATCTTCATCACAGACCACAAAAAAGAGAGCAACCCAAATGAACGCTTTTCTGTTCACCTCAGGGTGAACAGAAAAGCACATGTAAAGACAAGGACAGAGAGAAGGAACATGCACAACACACAAGTGCTGACTCGCTACTGAATTTATATACAAAAGGAAAAAGAGGACGTGCTGAAGGTCACGCAGTGCAGGCAGTGAATGTCACGTCCGACACAACACCATTTAACTACAATGTCTTTGCTGCATAGTCTGATCTGGAAACAAGGTTTCTGTATGAAGCAGTGTCATTGATGGGTGGCTAATGCAGCACTCCCCCAAGCTATTAATGCGATGCGCTTCCAAGATTTCACAAGTCGTCTTGTCTCGATAATGTCCATTTATTGTTGCGTCTTTAAGAATCGGAGAACACGAGCAGGAATTGCAATGTACAGGAAGATGACCGCCCACTGTAGATTTCAGTGAACGATCATGCTCGTGAAGATATCGTTCAGGCACCGTCCAGTTTGGCCCACGTAGCTTCTGCCACACCTTAGTGGGATTCTGTACACAATGCCAATTGAACCCGACGCACAAGGGTGGCTGTGGCATTTCTGGCACTTGACTTTTTTTTAGGTTTTCTGCTAGCAAGCAAACCTTGGAACAGGTTTGCGCCATTCTTTTGGGAGTTGAAAACACCACAGGCACATCATACCTTTCGGCTGCTCTTTTTAAATTGTGCGACGTTTTGCGCATGTGCACCTGTCGTTTCTGGGGATCTCTAGGTTTCTTTCACCGAATCCCTTTAGTCTTGCGTACCAGGGCCCCCACTGCTTTGTGCACGGGAAGATGCAATCTACGGCATCTCCCGGTACATTGCAATTCCTGATCGTGTTCTCCAATCCTTAAAGGGGCACTGACACATCAAAATCATATTTTTTTTTATTATCCGAAACGGTTGAAAACGATGCCGGGACATTACCCTCAAAATTTTAAATTTGGGAATTCAGTATTCGTGAAGTAAAAAAGCAATTTCCAAATGCCGAATTCGAAGTTCCCACGCGATCGGCGCCGGTGCCTTGACGTCAAAAATTGCGGATTCCTGAGAGTCCACTTTCTTTCACGACCCCCTGCTGTTGCCATGGCGACCCAAAGCGAGGAGGAAAGGAGCGAGCGCCCGCGTTGCGGCGGACCGGTTTTGAGCGGTGTCGCCTGTTTTCCGTTGGAGGATACAAATCCAGGAGACTGCACCACAACGAACTCCCGATTTTTGGTATTTCAAAAAGAAGGGCCGCAGTGCGTTCGCAATTGCGTTAAAAAACATGTTTTAGGATTGCCGTAATTAAATGTTATAGAGATGTCGCCTACAAAGCTTCTAAATTTCATGATTCTTGACGTCACCGATCAAAAGAAGCGAGGAGGCGAGAGGCGGGAAAATCAAACGCCAAAAATAAAAAGGCGCGCGCGTGCGCGGGAAAATTTTTTTTTGCGATGCGTTTTTTTTTGCGTGTCTATGACTGCAACTTGCATCGTTTTAGACAATAAAAATAAATACGACCTTTGGGGTGTCAGTGTCCCTTTAAAGGCACAACGATAATTGGACACTATCAGGGCAAGGCGACTCGCGAAATCATGGAAGCGCATTGCATTAACAGCTTGGGGGACTGCTGCATTAGGCACCTATTAGTGACACTGCTTCAAACAAACCTTTTTTTAGATCAGACTACGGGGCAAAGACATTGCAGTTAAATGGTGTTGTGTCACTGTGACACGCATTGCGTGACTTTCAACACGTCCTTTTCTTCCTTTTGTGTATAAACTCAGTTGCGAGTCAGCGCTTGTGTGTCGTGCATGTTCCTTCTCTCTGTCCTTGTCTTTCTGTGCACAGTTCTGTTCACTACATCATCGTACCAACTCGCCCAACTTACAACACCTCAGGGTGGTTCAAGGGCGAGGGTATCCTTCTGCCGTTATCCAATGTTGAGTTCACCAGAATTCTAGTTTCCATGTTGGCAAAAGCATCCAACTCAAGTTGGATGTCTTGGAAGAAGGTTCGGCTACAAGTGTGCTGGAAACGTCTTGTGCTCTGTTGCATCTTAAAAAGAATCTGAAGCACTTTTTTAAAAGTTAGGAGTGGACTTGTATGACTTTTTGTCCCGTTATTTAATTTATCGCACTGCCGTATTGTCTCCTCTGTACCTTTACATGCACTGCAGAGCGTGTCCGTCACATTGCTGTCACATTTGCGTCTGTACAGGCGGGTGCGCAAGGCACTGCCACAGGCCTCAATGAGAAGACGGCTACCCGGCGTATTAGCGCAGAAGTTGGGAAGAGCAACATTGGTCTTGAATGATCTGTACAAATGTAGGCTTCTGTGGTCTTGCATATCTGTCCTCCCTCTGTCCGTCCCGCACCTTGCTGACCCATTTCTTTTTAGTTGGAGGCTCCTTGCTCATAGAGATTGCACCGCACTTCGTTCCAAGTCAGATCTAACGTCGTCTCCATGTCGTCTTCATTTCATAGATGTATAACTCTCTTCGCCCAGCAACCACCCCGCATGTTTCGCGGCCGGGCGTAATACTCCAGCTTGCTGCTGGCCTCCCGTGCTTCAAAAGAGGACCAGCCAAGATCTTGGATTAGTTGATTGGCAACTCTCCCGTCGTCCGATTCGCCTTTGTCGTTGCTCGAGGTATCCCCGGGTCTCGCTGGGGACACAAGTAACGGCATTGGCGAAAGTTGGTCCAGGTAAGGTGACCGCTTTCCAAAGTTCTCGGGTGATGACATAGCAGCCACAGCACCAAAGACTTTCTCGACGCAGTATGTTTCGCTTTCCCAGGGCTCGTGTCTTGAGGTTCTCGTGGTGTTCCGCCAAATAATCTTCAAAATTAGTCAGCATCGCTCCAAGGTGTTTGCATTGCGTAACAACAAAAAGTGCAGTACTCTGGAGGCGTGTCAAGGCCTCCTCTGCCTTTCTCGGAAAACATCACTACAGCTGACTTGCTGGCACTGAATTGTACCATTTTTTAGACCACCCGAGACTGGGTAGAAGAAACACGACGACGTTGAGACGTCGTCGTGTTTCTTCCACTCAGTCTCGGGTGGTCTAAAAATGGTAAACTTACACCAGCTCGCCTGTGCCCTAACTGCTTTTTCACTGAATTGTAGTTGGAGCCAATCCGTTTCTGCTTCACATGTGATAAGCAGTACCCTCGTGTCTGCCACGTTGTGAGCCAAGGTCGTCTGCCAAAGCCAGCCCGGGGAGCCAACCTTTTATCATGTCGCTGTGTTGCTTATGATGTAAAGTGAACGCCAGTTTTTACGAGAGCTTTCTCCACGCCGGATCTGTAGAGCATGTAGAGAACGGGAGACGTTGGGCAGCCCCGACGGGAACGTCTGCAGATGAAACCCCCTTGAATGTTGCCATCACATTGTTGCCGTCGTAAGTCGCTGAATTAGTCTCACCCAGGCTTCCGGCATGTTGAGCACTTGGAGCCTCACAAATAACGAGGAATGGGAGACACTGTTAATGCGCTTTAGCAATGTTCAAAAAACAGCATATTAAATTCCACTTTTCTACCGACGCAATCTCAATGCATTGTATCAGGATAAATAAGTTATCATCCAGCCAACAATCCCTGCGGAAGCAGTTTTGTAGTTCCATGAGAACACCAGCACCTTCGGCCCAATATGAAATGGGTCAATTGAGGATGGTTGTGAAAGTCTCATCGGTAATGGCCGTGACAGCAAGTGGGCAATAGTTACACTATGTTTTTTCCGACCATGCCTCCGATCACTGGAAATCGGTTCATCGCTGCAAGATAGAGCCTATAGGACTAAACAGATGAGCCATCTGTTTTCTGGAGTCTGGTCTCAAAGAACCTGAGCCGAGATTCCCTCCAAACCCTGAGCAATAGTCCCGTCCAACCGTGGGGTCTACATGCACACGTCCCACTAGGGTTACAAATTTCCCTGCTTCTGTCGATGTCGGGATTTCCGCTAATGGTGGGCTATGCTTGTTGCTGCCCTCTGCAGAGGTTTCACAAGCGCTGTACGAAACAGCATGTATAGTTTTTTCAGAAGTTTATCAACATTCTGAATCGGACCTTTTTCCAGCAACAGCGGTTTTTCTGAGAACTACAAACTAAGGGCACTCCTAAATAAAAAAAAAAAAAACAAAAAAAAAAAAACACTCTTCTTTGTTTTGCAGTTTTCCGGAGTGCTAAAAACTGAGGGCACCCCAAAACAGATAGGCAATCGCCCTTCGTAAATCATCTTTTTCTTTCACTTTCATCATCAAATGTTTTTGGCAACTAATGCACGTCATGTTTTTTGTCGAGTTCTTCACGAGTCACAGACTTGCCAAGAACTGTGCAATTTTTAGAAATATTTTATAATGAGATTTCTTGCCTTTGTAATCGTCTTAAGTGAAGTTTTTCTGTACCAATAATTTCTTACCTCGTTAGTACTTTTGTGAACAACTTCTTGACAAACGTTTTTACACTGCGCTCTGTAAAAAAAAAAAAAAAAAAAAAAAATTGGAAACAATGGTTGATGAAGGGTATTCCAAGGTCTATCACAGCCGAAATGCTTTCTTGTGCTCTCTTCTCTTGAAAGTATTTCTCAAAGGCTAAGGGCATTATTGTTTGATTATCTGCACGCATTGCATATACGAGCCTTGTTTTTCGGCAGCCAGGCCGAACCTCAGGATCGATCACCAGATGAAGAGCCGCGATCTACTCCTTTCGTTATTGTTTGACGTGTATCTTGCACGACAGGTTTTGAAGAATAAACGATTACCGTTCTATTTTCCCCTTCAATTTGAGCAACCAATTGCGGAGGAAGGCGATGGTATCACTGCACGGTATCACTCTAGTATCACTACAAATGGCGTTCTTCGAGGGCCGTTGAACGAAGAAAGCTATCTTTCTGCCGATGCTTCGCCATGTCACCAACGATGCTTTGGCAAAGCGCAGACAAACAGAATGAACACGACCATGTGGGCTACGTAGTTGTACCACGGTGCAGCTAGCGCGACTGCCCAGCTGCCCTCCGGCAATGGCAGCAGCACACTAGGAGCAAGAGTAGGCGCAAGCGTGGAAGACTACCGAAAAAAGCTCCATTGTTGACTAGATTCAAACACAAGGTGCTTCTTAGCTCATGACTTTAACAATGTCGAACAAAACTTACGAAATGAAGTATAGGTACTTTTTGTTCCTTCAACACCTGTCGTCAAGTAACCGCAGCAGTTGTAGCTTTTGTGACTTTGCAGAATGTTAAGTGAGACGAAATATTACCAACTAAATGCCATGGTTTAGAATAGTCTAGGTAAGGAGGTTTTTAAACTTACTCACTCATACTTCTACGGGTACTCGAGCGGGACATAGGCTGGGGCACTGAAGTAGTCCTATTAACAAATCAAAGTTAAAGAGGTCGCTGGCCAAACCGAGTTCACAAAAAGCAGAAATCAACAGGTCCTTCTCTTTAAATCTCTTGAACCTCCATCCTCACGTTGTCCCCCACACTCAAACAAGTTTTGAGACTCCTGACCTAGAGATTTCTCATGCCATGTTGCAACAACTGGGAACTGTGTCCCCAGTTGTTGCAACATCTAAAACAAGTTTACACAGCCTAACAACCTCGGACAAGGCGTTTGATGAAACAAACTTTATTCAAGGTCCCTCGTGCCAATCCTCGACTGCCTACCGCGTCCTCCGGTGCTTCTTTTTCCTGGCCGGGGCCTGGTTCTGCGCCGCCCTCAGCTTGGACACCTTCTTGGTGAGGAGCTTCTGCTGCTTCACCTTCTCCTTGAGCTTCTTGCGCTTCTTGCGGCGCTGCATCATCACCTCGAAGTCCGACAGCTCCCGCTTGCCGGCACTCTCCTGCTTCTTCCCCTTCTGCCCAAACGGCCCAACAACCGGCTTGTCTGCCCTCGTCTTCTGAGCAGCCATCTTCCCTCCCTTGTCCCGTACCACGCCGGTTGTCCTCGGCTTTTTTGCCTTAGGAGGCAGGTCTGCAAGAGAGTCAATACGCGGGTTACTCGAGAAAAGTATAGGTCATACGATAGAGCTCACACATTAGACCCTTTCCGAAATTCGGTCTGGCCACTTTGATCGCTACCATCATCTGAGGAACAGCATATGTGCCGTGCAGCATCGGTAAAAAGCTGTTGCTAACAGATTTGCCTGTGTCGTGCCAAGGTTTGTGCATTGGACGATGAACTGGTATCCGGGGTGCACAAAAGACAGGACAGAACCCTTTGCCTTGCAAAGGGTTCTGTCTTGTCTCTTACTCTTCACGGTATGGTTCAGGTGAAGGAAGTGGAAGGAGCTCCTGAGCAGGTCATGCGAGGCCTATACATTCGTGACGCAATTACGACACAAAGCAGGAATTGAGCACAAGGGCTGCATAGGCGTTCATTTCAAAATTCGGCTCATCTGTTGGCAGCACACAATTTGCTCCGAAGCCACTTGTTGCACAGAATCTCATCGAGGCGGCCATGTGGGTCAGTGCTCCATTTTCGCTGGTTGCATCTTTGTCGTCGTGGGTACTCAAAGTCATTGACAAAAACCTATATGGTGACATTCTTGTCCGTCGTTTACTCGCGAAAGCGACGGTGCCCTATAACGAACTATAAATTCATTGGCGCCTCGGGTACGGCGAAAGTGAAGATGCTATTTAAACCACAAGATGGCACTGAATTTCAGAAAGGGTGTATAAATCTAGAGAAGATCCATTATCTTCCTCAAACATTTCAGCCGCCTCGGAACGGCCGGGTATAAACGCGGACATCAGTGGTCTCAGTGGGCCCGTGTTGCTGGAGACGCTTTATTAGCCAGAAGTGGGAAAACATTGCTTCAAAGTCGGTTTTATTTTGCACAACAGTGCCGGCATTGTGCATTGTATGAAAAGTGCTAGAACAGCTTGGACTTGTTGCAGCGAAATAAACATACCTAACCATTTGTTTGTTTTCCTTCTCTGCTTTTCTGTCGCTCTCTCTCTCTCGTTGTTTCCCTCTGGACTCCCGATGATGGCGCTTAAAGTTGCCGCGCCCTGCTCCAGTTTTTACCACTCTGGGCAATGGTCACTGAATGTTCCCACGCTTCAAAGATTTGTTTCGAGAATGCATTGCAGCATTGCACTCGGGGGCTTCAAAATGGAGACTCCGTGCAATCTAACCGAACCAGGTCAGACAAAGCTGGCAGTTCATCTGAGGCGCTCACACAAGCAGACTCTTTACCGGCGTCTGCTTTTGATGCTAATTTTGATGCGACTTTTGATGCGAGCTGTGCTGCTTTTCTCCCGGTGCTGCGATTTTGTGAAACTTTCACCGGGTCCTCAAAGGTCGCGCTACCGTTCACGCTGGGTTTCAAAAACATGTTTCGTCAAACAATTTCAATCAAGCACGAAATATCATCCACCCTATTTTGACGGCAGCCTGCCACCACACCTGCCAAAACGCTGTCTGCCATGGATGGATGATAGTGGCTGCAGGAGCTGTACCTTGGCTGGAGGTAATATAACTCTACCTAAAGATGGCCGCCAGTGACCGCATTCGCAGAGCGGGCAAACGCGATCCAGCAAGAGATCAGTGGTTTGACTCATTCGCAAGTTCACAGCTCGGTAATACCATATCTACTCGCATAATGACCGCACTCCCACACAACAGATACTGATATTTGGACTTTTTTTTTTTTTTTTTTTTTCTTCATGTAATGAACGCACCTCCAATTTTCGGCTCCGCGAGTCTCAAATTGCGTCCAACTTGGCTAGCCACCAAGCCCACCAAGCCAATTTTCACTTAGAAGAATCTCAGAATTGAAAACAAAGCACGGGTTGTCAATGGCTTCCAACGTGAAATGGCAGATGATCCCAATTTCAGCGCGGCGCTCAGTTCGTAGCAGATGATAAACTGTTTTTCTTGTTTGACTTTCATCTGCAAAGGGCGCATTAGCAGACGAACAGTCTACGAACGTTATCTTTACTCGTTCGGCAAGGCAAATTAGATCTCGCGGTGACCAAAATCGGACCCCAGGGGCCACGTGTTGCCACCGGTACGGGTGCCCACGTACCGTCTTCTGGTTCCTCCCCCACCTCCTCCCGGTACCACTGACGGTCCTCGTCCTCCCCTTGCTCCTCGCTACCCTCCTCGTCTGTGGCCTCTTCCCTCTCAGCCTGCTCCTTGCGCCGCCTGTTCTCTTCCTGCTGACGCTTACGCTTTTCCTTCTCTTTCCTGAAAGAAGAAAAAACAGGGAGAAAATGAAAAACCATCTCCAAGACAGTAGCTTAGAGTTTCCTACCAAAAGCTTCTCGTAAAATACTCAACGTATGCGCTTAGCATTCGGTCATACTTTTTATAAACCCGTCGACTAGCTCAATACACCTTTCCAAAATACACTCGACCCCAGGGACCACAATCCGTTTTCGAGCCCAGTCACTGAGTTTGAGGCTAGACTTTCACCGGCGTCCCTCCTAACCCTAACCGAGTGGACTGTGATTTCAATAGGCGCAGCCTGCGTAGGCGCAGTTTCAAACGCTGCTGGCGGCTAAATTCTCGTTTTTTCCCGCAATATTTTGTGTTTCATTGTGCATGTATTTTCCCGAGGTCATTGAGAATGCATTGTGTCACACTAAAAAAAAAAAACAAAAAAAACTGTAAACTGTTTTTATTGGATACGCGCGCGACAGAACGAGTGCGACTGGAATGTATAGTTCTAGTTATTTGTTGTTTTCTTACGATCAGTTTTGACGACGCCGCGGGATTCGCCGCATGTGAAGCGACAAAGCGCTTTGCTGTCAAGAATAAATTGCAACAGAAGACGGCCGAAAGGCATGCATTTTTCACTCTCACAAATAACGTGTTTACCGATGGACAGGACACGGACATACAATTGAGGAAGTGGTAACATTCGAACAATATATCGTACATACCACACGATGCAGCGTTATCCGAAAATAATTTATTTGAGAAAGATCTCAAATAACACAGTCACAGTGGACGACAGTCACATCTTGACGATCGGACGGAATCCGAGATGACTTCGTTTGGGGCACGTTTCGGGGAGAGCTTCCTTTTTTTCACAACCGCACCAAGGCAAAGAAACAAACGCGACTGACCCGTTTCTCACTCCAACCCGGGCAACTATTTTTGGAGATGACTGAGGATTCTACGCGGATTATCTCTGGGAGGGGGGAGAACAATGTTCGCAAAATCGCGTCAAGGGTCGTTCGACGTCCTTCACCTGCTTCGTTTCCCGTGAATGTCGAGCAGAAAAGCTTGAATGACAGGCACTTACCAGCCTTATTTCTCACAATGGAAGATAACACAAGAAGGGTAGGCAGCACGCATAAAAAAATGAAGTGGAAACTTTCAAGAGAGCGAGAAAACGTCGAATGCAAAACGGCTAAAATGCACGTAGAATACCGCGCTGAGCGGGTCTTCACAGTCCCAGAGAGTGGCAGAAAACTTCTAGCTGATAGAGGGCGCGAGAGTCGCACCAGCCGCATCAGCATCAGCAACATGGCGGCGGCCTAGGAGCGTTTTTTTGGAAAGGTGTATAGAAGCCCTCCTGCCACAAGTTGCATTGCGACTAATGTCACGGAAATGCCAGTGAGCAAAGGGCACGTGTCACACCATAGCCTCCTCTATACAAAGAGAGCCCGCGGGATTAATGCCAGAACCAGTCGCCAAAGCTGAAAGAGAGCGAAAGAAGAACCATTGGGATTCTGGGGGCTAAAGCCGCCACATGAGCGTGAAGCGGCCATTCTCTGAAACTTTTTCCTTTTATTTTGTTTTTGAGATAAAAAAAATGCCGGCATCTCCACGTGGTGAATGATGCTGATTGGGGCGAAGCTCTGGTGGCACTGATACGCTGAGCCGCAGCATGCCAAGCTTTCCGTTCGTTTTCATCTATGTCAGAAAGAGAATGTGTGGTATGGAACGTGGTTATATATGCATTTTAGCATTTATTTATTATTTATTTAAGTACCCTCAAGGCCCTGGGGCATTACAGAGGGGAGTGGTACAAGACAAATTTGGAACACAAACAATATACAAACACTAAAAGCCAAGCACGAAAAATGTAAAAAAAAAATATGTAAACAAATTAAGAAATGTATAAAACAAGGCAAACAAACAAAGAGAGATATTAACATAGGGAAGTAGTCAACGCACTTTTAAACAAGTCAAAGGATGGTATGTTTACTAATTGCGCGGGAAGGCGATTCCACTCTGAAGATGTCCTTGGAATAAAAGAGTTATAATAGGCTGAGGTAATGCAATGAGGAATTCCGACTTTAAATTGATGATCTACACGCGGTGAGATGAAAACAGGATTTAACATTTGACCGCAGCGCCCTCTCGTCTATGAACGTTGAGCCAATGCATGCAAAGTTTAACGCGATTATATATGCATTTGACCGCAGCGCCCTCTCCTGTATAGACGTTGAGCGTCTACATGCAACGTTTCATCCATGACATCCCCAGCTCTTGAGTTACCACCACATCTCAGAGCCCCCTACTCGTCCCGCAGACGTGACCAAGTGGTTAAGGCGATGGACTAGAAATCCATTGGGGGTTCGAATCCTGTCGACTGCGCAAGCATTTTTTCTTTTTTTAAGTAGACAGATGGGATGGCAATCTGTATGAGCACGGACGCCGGACAAGGCTAGACCCTAAGGAGCTTTGCCCCTAAAACCGAACATTTCTGCTTTCTAAGTAAGGGTTACCCTCCTCTCCCAGCAGGCAACAACAGTATAGAGCAGGGGTCTCAAACACGGGCTGCATGCAGCCCGCGACTCTCTGGGATGCGGCCCGCAAGCATCCTGCCGCTGCGAGCCCTGTTCCCATGCCTCAAGTGCTAGATGCGCCATACATTATGGTTTCATATCGTCGGTTCATTGCCGCTCGAAAAGGAGCTCTGCCAGGCAGGTAGCCAGGACTTTGTTTCGGGAGGGGGGGGGGGGGGGGGCCGCCCATGACAAAATGCCGTATGAGGGGACAGGGGAGAGGAGGTCCCAGCAAAATGAAAGATTTCGAGGGGGCCGAGCCCCATGGCCGGCCCCCCCCCCCCCCCCCCCTCCTGGCTACGTGCCTGAGCTCTGCTCATATAAAGTGCTCACAAATTTTGCCCTATTCTCTTTTATTTTGGACCGAGTATTGCTACGTTTAAATATTTGCTTCTCAGCCCTTTCTCGAGTAAATCAGCCGGAACGACAATGCCACTACTATACCCGTTTTCACCTAAAAATAAAAGCGAGTTTTGCGCATTGTTTATACGCGGCGCGAAGTAGTTCTTACGAGATTTGGTTGTCAGAGAAAAAAGCTATGCTTTTGGCATTTGAAATGCGTACGTCTTGATAAGATAACATATGTAATCTAAAATTTACCTACTTATATCTTGATTATCCACATAAAGGGGGACATTACTAATGCTCCGCAAGGAGCCAGACTGTTTCGACTACAGTTCTTGAGGTGACTACTTGAGGAGGCTACAAGCGTGAGCTCTTTACTCAAGGAGGCACCTCGGTTGCACCAACTCTCGCTCAGCAGAATGACTGCCAAAGATAAAGCGACGAGCTTGGGCCGCTGGAAAATCCCTATAAAATATGAGTATTTTATTATAATGTTGCTATAAAAATCATCAGAAAAAGAGAAAGTGCCTGTCGGGCAAAGTAAATTGTGCGACGGGGCAATGACAGTATGCTTGCTCTTGTTCTACTATTAAAAACTGCCGATGCGCTAGCACTTAAAATTTTGTTATCACATCAGGCACGGGTCTAAAGTAGTCGTCTATGCAAATCAAGACAGTATGAACCGCATGTAAGCGATTTGGCGAGCAATAAGACAAGCGATGGCGACCCGCTTCGATGTTGCTCGGTCAGTCGGGCAAGGAGGCAAACTGCATGAAAGTGACGAAGCAAGCGACCAAGGCGCTGCGCGACGTTTTCTACAAATCCAAAAACCGAGCAACACGACGAGTAACAGTGAGAAATCGCCGTCGCTCATCACTGACTCTCGTTGCTGTAGACGTCGCTTGTCTCTTTGCTCGTCTCTCCGCTCACTAAATCGCTGACACGCGGCTCGTGTCTTTTAAGGTGTTACTGGCAAAACGACGACCATACAAAAGCAGAAAGCACGAGGTCCCTTCTCCAGAAAATATATAGTCACTGGGAGAGTCAGCGGCTTCACAACAAAGTCATCTCTGCTTTTTTTTCTTTTTTTTTTTTTTTTGTCCCAAAATAACAGCATACAGATCCCCCACATTGGCCCTCAACCTTTTGGGGGTGGTCTATCTGGCACCCACACCCGAATGAGTTTGAGAAACCCGGCATAGAGCAAGCTCTGGTCGTGCTTCTGACCAGGAATCCCACTTGGAAGAAATTATGTTTATGCCGGCCAAAGATTATCTGTACAGGTTTCGCGGCTCCCCTAATAACCCAAAGCGGAAGTGATTCCCCATAGCCACCCCACACTCCCCGAAGTTATCCCTACGTTGCGTCGCACGAAGGCAACAATCCAAAGATGGATGTGCTAGCAACATTTCGTGCAGTTTCGCGATCAGATTCTCCAACCGGGAGATTTCTCGTCTGCCAGCACAACTCGCAACAACTGAGGCTAGTTACACTCGAGACATCCGCTACGATTCAAAAAACCAGAAGAAATGGCCAAGGACTTATACTCGCAACTGCAACCAAGTTTCTTCCATTCATAAAACCGTGCAACATTAAAGAATGTGTGAGCAAGCGCGCAGGAAAGCTGTCAGAAATTCTACGAGCAGCCTTTTCTCCACTTGAAAGCATGGAACGCGAGACTGCACACACAGAGATGCTGCAAACGAGAGTCCGACAGTGCCAACGCTCCTTTCTAGTTCCATCTGGGGAACTATGGGTATGGCAAAATCCGAAGCCAAACCCGGAAATTTTAATTCAACAGACAAGTCCTATTGGAAGCACGCAACGAGACTGAGGCGTCGCAGCTTCTAGCAGCCTTTCTGCACGCACATTGCGCCAGGGAATGGCAAGCATTGAGTCTGTTGTTTCTATTCCATCTATGCTGACCCAAGCGTCATACTACACGAGCGTTTGGGGTCACTGTCACGGTTAACTTCTCTTACACTAGAGATGAAAATTGAGAGCCTAGATCTCATGCGCTCGCAAAAACAGCCGCAATCATCTCATTCCCAGTATGAGCTTGATTTGCCAGCGAGATCTGATGAAATGAGCAACGAAAAACACTCGTCACATTGATTTGATCGAATGCCGACACTGGTGTGTGTCGTTCCATAGTAGACGCCAGGCCGTCGTCGAACAGACACACAAAATAGAGACGCCGAGCTACCGTCGTTGCCGCTTACAGGACACGGCTGAATCCCGAGCTTCGAGCCAGTCCTGTGGGTCGTATCACACGAGGACACAGGAACGCTGAACACAAGTAGGTTTCTGAATATCGAGGCACAATATTTTTACTTTGGCGTTAAATCGAGGAATGCAGTGGCAGGAAGATACAGACTCGGAACTTGCGTTGGAACGCGGGAAAGCAGACGGTGCATTTGCACGCAAAGTAATACTTATGCGAGCCGTTGGCGGCGCTGCCAATTTGCTTCCAAGATGGAGCGGCGCGTTAGCTCTAGGTGGTGCCCGCTCCCCGCACGACATTCTGAAGAATCAATACTGGGAAACACTAATAATGGCTTTGATTTTCTCGTAGTTATAAAAAGCTCGAATGCTCAGCTTTGCAGAGTAGTTTGCGTATGTTCGCTCGAGCGTCCCGAGGGCAGACTCACTTGAGTTGCAGCCTGCGCTCCCGAAGCCTCTCGACTTCCTCGGGCGACCTCTCGACGAAGGCGTGAAACATGACCTCTCCTCCCATCAGGCCTTCTTCCACCTTCACCAGCTTCAGGGTCAGCCGGGGCCCGAGTTCGACCACCCTAACGGACAAAAGTGGGTTGCATGTCTGCTCTGGGACAAGTGACAAGAACAACGCTAGCTGTACACTTTTGCTAAAGCAAAGTACTAGAGGCAACTTTGGCCTAGAATCGCCTTATTGAAACACCATGTAGCAACCGTGCCTAGACAAAACTGCTCGGACCAAATGCCAAGTTTCGCTTGGGCAGATCTGAATTACTCTGGCGGGTCATGCTGCATGACAGCACAAATACAAAAATGCTGTATAGGTGTAGGCTCTCCAATATTGAAGTGCCAGACTTTTACTCAGCAGCGAGAGGGATTAGATTTTGCAACAAGGCCTCGCTGTCTTCAGAGTTAATCTCGTATGAAGATGCAATCAGAGGGAGGCCAACTACGCAGTGGGTGTGTGGATGGATCGACGATACTGGCTTGAGGACAACCCTAATTCCTGTTTCTGTCCCCGTCCTCTATGCTTTATCCTTTCATGCATTTGTACCTAAAGGTTGTATGAAATTCTGTCCCATACCTTCAGTACAGCACGAATTTCGCACTTCCCCTTTGCCAGCAATCTTCTAACCTGCTCCCAATGACGGCAATCTTTTTGCGCTCCGTTCTTCTATCCACGTGACCAAGTGTTCTCACCAAATCTGTTGCCCTTTCTGGGATCGCTGGACCATTCTAAAATGTTCTATTATCTCACCTTGGCATATGCCATACGGCCGATCCTGAAATTCAAGCCCGCATACCAGGCTCACGGTTGCTAGACTCATCGGCGTCCTCTAAAAACACCGCATTGAGCACCCGTGGTACGAAACGCTCCGGGGATTCGTGCGTCCGTGGGCCCCGTTTCTCGAGAGCCCGACGGAGGCGACCCGTGGCTCGCCTGGATGGGCGAATGGAGGCGTGCGACCGAACCCTTTGAATCGGGCGGCGACTAGTGCCACACGGTGAGGTACCTGACGGAGCTCTGCTGGTTGAGGGCGTTCCCCCGGCTGGCGATCCTCTGGGGCAGCAGCACCTGGTTGGAAGTTCCCTCGAGTTCCGCCTCGCTCTCCGAGGCCCCCGGCTGCTCCAGGAACTCGCAAACGTCGTGCAGACGGCTCAGGTCCGGCACCCGGCTCTGCACCAGCTTCTTCACCGCCCGGTTGATGCCGCACGGCGTCACCTTGATCGTGCTGCAGCCGGTTGTTGCCGCCATTACTAGACCCGCGACTACACTGCGTTTCCCCTAACTTTCGGTAGCAGCGGACACCACAAGCCATCCCAGCTCTTTGAATGTAGCCTGCGACTGCGCATTTCGCGCGTCACGGCGCTTCCCCTCTAAGCTTACGGGAAACTCTCACGGCCTTGGACTGGCACCGATGACTCGCAGTATCCGCCGCGATCGGACTAGGGTCAGACATAGTAAACTCGCTGAGAGTAACCAAAGCAATAAATGAACCTATTCGAAAATAAGTTGACCTCAATTCTGAAAGAAGCACGAGGGAATAAAGTTTCTACAAACATTAATTTTGCGACATTCCTAGTCACTCCAGCTAAATATAGCTCGTCAACTGCACTGGCTGCGTCATTGTCCGAGCTTGAACTACTCGCGCTTCACCCTTTGTGGCAAGATTTACTGTTTCACAGCAAAGCTCTCGCGTCTTGTAACGGTCTCTTCGGAGAAGCAGCCGACATGGGCGAGCTTCTCGGATAGCACTATGGGTTTTGAAATTTCAGTCACTACTACGGGTCTGCCTAGTTTATCACCACTATAAGCGAAATACAAATTTAAAAAAAGAAAACAACGCCCCCCCCCCCCCCCCCCCCCCCCAAAAGAAAACAATTAATTGTATAACTCCAAATTTAAGTTAAATTTTTTTATTTTTCCTCAGATATGCATTAAAAAAAGCTGGCTTTCATCTTATATACACCTTTCCAAAAAAACATTCCTAGGCCGCCGCCATGTTGCTGATGCTACTCTCATGCCCCGTCAGCTAGAAATTTTCTGCCGCTCTCTTGAACTGTGGGAACCTCCTCAGCACAATTCTCTACCTATGTTTTGCGGTTTTACATTCACATTTTCTTGACAGTTTCCACTTAATTTTTCCGATGCATGCAGCATACCCTTTCTGTGTTATCTTCCATTGTGATGATACCCCTCTGCAGCGGCGGCGTATCATCGCTGGCGTCTACAGCGCCACCGAGGCAAAGCGGCGGTGCAGTAGACGAGAACGAACCACAGGGTGCGTCTGTTTTTTCTTTGTCATCGGTTCTGTTCGGCCATCTTAGTTTTGGGTAACAATGGGAGGACGGCAGTCTGTGCGCCCACTTTCGTAATGAGTACGACAAAATGGAAACAGTTTTCTCTATCAGACAAGCTCAAAATCCTCCAGCATCTGGACAACGGTTAAAGGCAAGTGGACGTTGCGAAAAACTATGGGATTTCACCGTCGACGTTGTCAACGAGAGTGAAGCAAAAGTCTAAGCTTGAAGGAGAAACTGCGGTCGATCCCAACAGGAAACGACTCTGTGTGGGATATTTCGAGCCAGTGGACGATGCCGTTGCGGTATGGCTTCGTCACAGCAACAAGCTGTGCCAGAGGAAGTGCAAAAAAACAGACTTTCCGGACAGCTTGTTACTTCATACACTTTAAGAGCACCGTTGCAAATAAAAATTAGATTTTCTTTTTCAAAATGAGAAGAACAGCAATGTAACTGTTATGCACTTTGTATATATCAATGAATACGGCTGCATAAATTGCATTTCACACTTTTGACTCGACGTATGCAGTGCCCTATGCTGTTCCATATTGTAGCGAATATATTTGGTTTAGTGAACTTTCAGTTAAGTGAACTATTTCCCTGTGTCCCTTGAAGTTCGCTCAATTTAGAGTTTACTGTACAACGATAACTAGAAAACCCAAAATTTCAATCTATACAGCCGATTACCGTATCTGGACTGTAAACCAGTCCTCATAAGTGGTACATTGTTATACAGTCGACTCTCATTAAGGGGGGACACCACCCAAGGGGGTTAACTTTTAAACCTATGGCTTAATATGAATGAAATTTAGAGTATATACTGGAAGTTTCAAGGCAGAATGCAGTGGAAAGTTTCATCAGTGTACATAAGCTGTAAAATAATTTGTAGTCATTTTTATCAGGAACACACCAACTTCGTTTAGGAAAACTATCGTTTGGAAATAATGTAATACTGAACATTTTTCTACTCTAGATCTGCAGCAGAACGCCTGGGGAGTGAAGCTGTGAAAAGAAAATTTCCAAAAAGTAATTTATTTTATGCTAACATTGCAGTGAAAAATCAAATAAATTTTTTTGCCTTTTATGTCATCCACAAAATCTTAACATCTTTTATAAAAAACATCCACAAAGTCAAAAAACAATTCCATAGTTGCACTGCCCATAAAATTCCACTTATGAAAAACAATAAGCGAGTCTTTCCTTTTGTCCCATTAACAAACGATAGTTTTCCTAAAATGAAATTTAAGCCAAAATGTGGAACGGAGAAAAATGTGTTCAAAGTGTTCCAACCCCTACCTTTTCTTTAGCTTCAATGCACCGAAAATTATTTATAAAAAATTAACTATGCGGTGTAAACTAATGAAACTTTCTGGAAATACTCTCCAGGTGCTGGTGGATGTAAATACAACATTTTTCAAAATCAACTTTTTTTGCAGAAAATTTTTTTTTTTTCGGGTAGTGTCCCCCCTTAATTCAAACTCGAGGGGGGCCGAAAATTTGTTTGAATAAAGCAAAGTTTGAATTATCAGGAGTTTCTTCCCATAGAGACGCATAGGATGGGACCTGCACGTTAGTTTGAATTATCCGAAAGTTTGAATTAAGAGATTTTGAATTAACGAGAGTCGACTGTATGTGGTATAGTTATAGGTGGATTGCATGTACAAATAACAAAAAGATGCAAGACAAGTGGAAAAGAAGAGGAAGACAAAGTGCGCAGGGGTCTGCTGATAGGGGGCTCTAGCGAGCTCATTTGCAAACAAACATCGGTGCATATTCTGGTTTTTATGGTGCATTTGAGTAAATAGAGTAAGCGGCACAAATTCAGAAGCGAGGCTTCTTAGAAGTTCACCCTTCATTTCTTCTGTGCGCATGAAAATAAATATGCCTCACTATCTTTACAGAAATGATTCTCCGAAATATTATATCAGCAATGACAAAGTGGCACACATAGTATATGTGCCTGCGCACAAAAGTACACGAAACGGTATAGTCAACTTGCATCGCTAGGGCAAACATTACGACCCCAACCGGCCAAGTAAAGAGACGGAGCAAAGCACATGACAGCTCTACGCAGGACAAGTGTGACAGTATGTGATTCTGTACCTCGCTCCGACGCTGATTGGCTCGCTGGAGCCGTAGCTGTCCAAACAAGTTGTGAATGGTGCAAACCAGAAGCGACACTACATACGTAGCGCAAGAATGACGCAACCCTCTCCGTGGGCGAGCGTGGATGCGTTGTTCACCCAGCCATGCTGGGCTCTTAGTAAAGCCTGGCTACAGAGTTTGGGTCTTAAGAGTACCACAAAAACTCACTAATGGCGGAAGTCGATCGTGCTGTCCTCTTGATTGAAGTTCAGGAGGAGGCACCTTCTGATGGTGTTCAGCTTGACCTGCAGCAGATGAAATGATAGAGGACTCAAGTGGCCCACTGACAACAAATAAATGAATGTTTGTCGAAAATGATGCACCCGAGTGTTGAGTTAAAACATGCTGCCATGTTACCCTGCTGGATCCGACAGTGAACGACATCAGACTGATGTGCTCGGCTGTAGTTACCACAGCACAGTGCATGTTGTGGTGGAGACATCAGCAGTGGTAAACACTTTCTCTCCGCAAAACCAGCTACGTGACCTGAAAACACCTTTTGCGAGGAAGTAAAGGTTGGATTCAGAGCTCAATATCTTGCACTTTTTGAGTTCCATATTGTGACGTAACTGCACTCTGGGATTGGGCACAGCCAATCACAGAGTGCAGTTCCCCCGTCTCCACCCTCCTTGCAAAATAGTGTCCACATGGTCTTCGCATGCACCGAAGCAAGGTGCAGCTGGCCAAAGCCAGTGCTGTAGCGACCTTCTTTCCTCCATATTCCAGAATAAACCGGGTGGATGTCCAATGCCAAGTGCATCATTTGGCTTTGTATTCAATGACCGGAAGATGTCATACACACTTTGTGTTGTATTCTGATGCAAGTAGACGCATCACCTCTGGGATGGATCACCTTTTACCCGCATTGCAAGGTATTTGCAACAATCAGCAAATCGGCCGAGGTAAGCAGTTGCACTGCACTGGCTATACTGCTCCTGTGCAGTGGAAACACATATATCGTCGTCATTATCATCACATAATTCATATACTATACCTTGAGGGCCCACAAGGGTAGCGGAGCATCATTATATAAAAGCAAAAACTAGAAATGAACACTAAAACCTTGCTGTTTGAAAACGCAAACTTTGTTTTAAAAACTAGAACAGAAGAAAACCTATTTTTAGGAAAGTAGAGGTAAAGCAGTACTTACACTACCAGTGCAACTGCAAATACAGTCGAATTTCCTTAATTCGAACTCGAGGGAGATAAAAATTTTGTTTGAATAAAGCAAAGTTTGAATTACCGGGAGTTTCCTCCCATGGAGACACATAGTATGGGACCTGCCTGTTAGCTTGAATTATACGCAAGTTTGAGTTACTGAGATTCAACTGTAGTCGGTTAAGTGTGCTATAAACATAGCATGATCTCTTTGGGCCCCGATGTCACTGCTACGATAGTAAATTTTGTGAGAATGGGACAGGCACAATAATTTCTGCTTGGATGGGAGTAAACCGAGGTTAGCTCCAAGACCGAAAGCCCTCCAGCCATGTAAACACGTCAAACTTGTCTTCCTTAAAAAAAAAAAAAAAAAAAAGAAAGCCGTTTACAACTTCCTGTAACACCGAATTGGAGCGCAGCTCTTGAGGAGGAGGAGGAAACGGTACTGAGGGTCACCTGTTCTCGGGGCGGGGGGGGGGGGGGGGGGGGGGGGGGGGGGGGGGAATCATGTGACCTTGGGAGTTTTTTTCCGCTAAATCTAGCGGGGAAATTTTTCCGCTAGATTTAGCGGGGAAATTTTTCCACTAGATTTAGCGGGGAATTTTCTCCGCTAGATTTAGCGGGGAAATTTTTCAGCTAGATTTAGCGGGGAATTTTTTCCGCTAAATCTAGCGGGGAAAATTTTCCGCTAGATTTAGCGGGGAAATTTTTCTGCTAGATCTAGCGGGGAATGTTTCCGCTAGATTTAGCGGGGAAATTTACCCATAATGCACCGTGCGGTTACGCCGACGGCGACGGCGACGCCGCTCAAGCCGGAAACGGGCCCCTAAGAGCTGCGCTCTAAAAAGCAAAAACATGCACTCCTCCGGATGGGAGAGCTACAATGCGCACTGTCTAACGACTCCAAGGGACTTCACAAAGAGGCGGCTGAGAAGGCTGCCCGAACCCCGCACGAGCCCAAGAGCAGCCCTGACCGTGTTGACGTTGATGGAAGGGAACATGTTCTGGAACATGGACGTCATGAGCTTGAGGTGCATGCCCTCGCCGCTGAAGTTGTTTAGCACCAGCAGCGGGTGGGAGCTGTACTGGTGGCCATAGGTGATCTTCTTCTTGAGGCTCGAGAGCACGTCCTTGGCCAGGACGTAGTCTTCCACGCGAAAGGTCAGCGTGGGTCCGCGCGGAAGCCGGGCCATCCGCAGGTAGATGGCCTGCTCCGTCTTAGTGAACACCACCATGTGCGTCACGTGCAGCAGACCGGCCACCGACACATAGTCCTTCACCACATTCTTTTTCTGCACCTGCAACGAAGCAAGCCGCCCAGCGGACTCTCAGCCAGATCCGGGTCACCATTCACTTGCACTGGTGTGGTCCATGACGCACAAGACGTGGGTCGGTACAAAATGAACCGGCACTGCGTAGAAAGTGATTCCAGTGCAAGCAATGCAGACCAGAGGCATGCAGGTTGGGGACGCGAGGCAATATTCAGAGGGTATCCTTTGGTAGAGGCATCGGAACAAGGGGGTAGAAGAGGCAATGCAACGCCCAGAAATGAAAAAACATTTAGGTAAACAATATGGGCAAGGGACGAAACTCTTGCTCTCCCCCCTTTCTCGAAGAGTTCTGTCTCTGGCCGTTACAATGCAGAGGGCGAGAGGAGCGTCTGCCGTTTTCTGACTCATGGGACTCTTGTATTCAGCGCCAGACAATGAATGGCATCTAATCAAAAATAAACTAAAAGCTTACTTAAATCGTTCGAACAGAACCGTAAAATACCAAGACTGCCCAAGCTGTACTGTAAAACTCAAATCCATCTTAACTTGACTGGAGCATTGGGCCTTTTTCAGAACTTGGCCACCCATCGTGGTGTGCCCCCGCGGGAATTGCTCGAAACACTTTTGGGGGCTCTGGAATCATCGCTCCGTCGTCCATGCCAGCATGCGCGTGTCTCAATCTGTGTGTTTACGTGTGTTCTCTGGTGGCATTTTTCTGTCTTTCACCATTCTGCGCACATCTTTTTGTCGTCGCTTCGCGTAAGCCTTTGCTTCCAAATGGCTGAGGGCAAAGGTTAACGAAGGCCACTGTCTACAATACGGACAACCACGTTTGTCTTTATGCGAAGATCAAGTCGTCTGCTTCTTGCGCAGGAGTTGAAGTGACGACAGAAAGACGCCGAGCTGTGATTGGCTGTGATCGAAGGATAGTGGGTAGACCTTAAAGCTAGTTGCCTTGAAGTCTACCCACTATCCTTCGTTCGGAACCAAATCTTGGCATTTTGACGTCACTGCAGCCCCTGCAAAAGACGCAAAACCTGTGCTCCGCATACCATCCAAGATGGATAGACCGCCGACGCCGCATCGGTTTCTACCCTCAACTCAAAGTCAGGTGCGGCGTCACACAAGCAACTGAAAAAGGGGTTGGCTTTCAAGGCAGAGTGTTATGTAAGGGAAGTAATGGTGACGAGTTTCGATCCCAACACAACTAGCCACCTTGTGCGGGGCTTGTGTGCTCCGTCCATGAGCCCCAGCCACTACAAACAGCCAATTTTGCTCTCCTTGAGCGCCTAAGTTATTCAAGCTTATTTAAATAACAACAGCTTTGCGTTCTGACACTTTGCCATCCTGATGTACCGCGCGAGCGCTTGGGGTGTCGCCATACCCGGGCCGTGTAAACAAACTCGGATGGGGTGAAATCCGGCCAGTCTTCGTATCACGAAGACTCGCCTGTACCGTCAAAAAGCAAGGATTGGTATGTTACAAAAATTTTTTCTTTGAATTCAGCACATTTACAAGCCTGTGACGAAGCGGGCACTGCAAACAGGAAAGTTCATGGTTGGTTGCCAAGGCATTCCGTCGGAGTTCTGTCGCCGTAGGGCTTGAATCCATTTTGCACGCTTTAAATGTTTTGCTAGTGATTGGTATTTCTTGCTTGTTTTCACTTTGAACGTTGCAAGACGTGAATATGTATAGCGCACGCTTGAAGAACGGAAAGCTTTATCCAGTTATGTTTTACTTGAGTATCGGGCACGGCATGATTACGCTACACAAGCTCGTGTGCGCAGTTACTGTCTTTTAGTCAAAAGCAGAATGTCCCGCCACCACGTTGAGGACCCGACCCCTTGACACGGGGGATTTGCATCATAGGCTTGTGAAGCAGGGACTTTTGAAAGCGGGTAGAAAGAATGGGGTGTTTGGCATTGAGTGCTTTCATGCAACACCTGAAAAAGGCTGTTGAAACTCCATAAATTCCTGCACCTGAATTTTTTTTTTTTTTTTTGCTAATTGTGCAACTAAAAAGTTGCGCAGCGGTGAGGCGTGACGACTATGAAGCCAAGCCGTGAGAATAGAGGGAAGTCAAGCCGAACCAGCACTGTCTGAGCAACTAAGCAGACGAGAGAGCCTGCAAAAATGACACCTTTCCCTATCCTTCCCTCCCTCAGAATCCATATGCTCAGCACGACATCACCCTGTCATACAAATCTATGGCTACATCCTACGTCGCTCCACAGTCTTGAAAGCCATTCAGGTATTATGTGGCTGGCCTGTCTTAAGGCAGAGCCTCCTCCGTGGGCGTGGCTTGGGCTGCCGGTGGAAACGTCACGAAGCGATGTGTACGGAAGGGCCAGTGAGTTGACATTTTTATAGTGACCCGCTGTGGGCTGTTGCCGCAACGCGGCATGAACGGGTGGACCAGGTAGGTTAACACGTGCGACGTAGTGACTCTACATTGCGCGTGTATCACTGGGGCACGTGGTTACTTACACGGCCCACCCGTTCTCACTGCTTCGCAGCGACTGTCAGCAGCGGCTCATTACAAAAATGTTAACCCACCTTGCCCACCCATACATGCCGCTTTGCGGCAGCCCCGCCCGCGGAGAAGGCAACGCCAAAGGACAAGCCAGCAACATCAGTGTTGGCTATTCATACTAACTGCCTGTATCTCCTTCCACGAGAGGCAGGCCCTCACAATGGCAGACAAGTGGCATCAGTGCCAGCCGTTCCTGGGTACGCACCTTTAGCCTGGACGCCGTGTAGGGCTCCATGACCTTCCGGAAGTTGAGCATGAGCTCGGTCGTGTTCTTGCCCAGCTTGCCCCGCGAAATGACGAAGGTGTGCGGTGCTTGGGAGAGCTCCTCCGGCTCCGAGGACACGCTCCCCTTCTGCGCGGCTTTCACGGCTCGCCCCTGCGGACAACAGAAACGGAGGAATCGAGGACTCCGTCTAGGGACGGCATTCGTCGATCGAAAGATCGCTGCTCGCCGGCGATCACCGAAACACACGTGTTGCATGTTCTTGTACATGCGTGGTGTATTTATCAGTGCTGATGCTTATTCCCGCTTACTGCTTACGTTTAATCATCACTTGTCGCGGCAGAGCGGCACTACTCCACGTGCAGCCGACTTGCATAGCTTTACGTTGGTAACGTTCACGCGGGCTTGAAGCTAAAATAATCTCTAGTGTTGGCCTTTCTTGGCCTCGAGACCCAGATTGAATTTAGGTGAAGCGTGCTCTTGTTCACCCATGTTTCACTACGAGGGGGCAAGGGTACAGAGCACGAGCACTGCATTGGCGCCCTTCTGCCTCGCGTGCGTGGCATTCCTCTTGCTCCAAGGAAGTGCAAAACAAAGCGTAGTTCTGCTTTTCACCACGTGAGCTGTAACGATAGAATCTCCAGGCGAATAGGCCGTATAACTAGGTCCGAAACGCTCGGTTGCGTGAAATTGTCGTTATCCCACTAGACACCACGCAAATGACGCAAAAGGACATCAATGAGCCTCTCAAATATTCGCGACAACACAAATGCCAAGAATAAAGAATTCTGGGTTACCTTCCGTTTTTTTGCACCCATGATAGACACACCACTGACACCACACACAAACAAGCACGTGTGAGTTGTGTGAGTTGTACTTGTATCGGATGGGTTCGGATTTAGATTGGCTTGAGTTAGATCTATACATAGACGTCAAAATGGATGGATAATAAATGCTAACGGCTGTAACCTTTATAATGGGTGGTAGCTTGCGCCACCTGGCCTAGACACCAAAAGTATGATTATCTTGATCATGGCCTCCGAGATCCCGAAGCACGATTACGGTGTACTAGAATTACAGTGTACAGAATACTTGGGTAGTGTTGGGACCGGAGCGGCTCGGCAACGGGAGCTCGTGAGGGCGCGTGTATTGACAGTTCGTGGCGGCGCTGTAGTCGAGTTATCCGGCTCGCGCAGCCCGCCTTTTTTTTTTCTTTTTTCTCTTTGAGCGGTGCATGTAGCGAAAGCTAGGAGCGCGAGCTCATAGCGTTGGCAGCTGCCCTTGGTGCACGGGAGCTCGTGCCGCCGAGATGTGCCCTAGAGCAAGGAGTTTGCGCATGTAGCCTTTCCTGCGGTACAACACAAAGTAAAACAGATTTTTTTTTTTTTTTTTTTATAGGGCACAAAAAAAAAATCAGTATCTTCAATTTTTTTTTTTTTTAATTCTTGCGGTAGGCAAAGGGTTAATGAACGGTTTAATGGGCCATGTTGCAATTGCAGCTTTAGAGGGAGCCATTATTAAAGGGACACTGACAGGGTATTTATGCTCGCCGAGGTTGTTAGTTGTACGTGACATATGAGGGCTCAACTACCCAGAACAGAATTTGCGGCTCGAAATTCGGTTTCTTTCCGCCCGAAAACCGCCGATCAAGAATTGGCCAGTTCGAGTCTCGCTCACTCTCTTTTTCGCGGTCACGGGCCGTTTTCTAAGGTATCGATGCGACCACCAAATTTAATCAAAGTCGTGGGTCACTGAAGGCACACACTCAATATTAAAAATAGAAAAAAATATGAAACCCATTTTTTGTGGCTTCTAAAAAGCTGTAAATACGTTGACTGAAAAAAAAAAAAAAAAGTTCCACAGACAACCGGAAGCATTCTGTGCGTTCGTCGTTTCGCGTATCGTGGGACTCGCGGCACTCGCGGGGACGGCGAAGGCAGCGGACGACGGGCGTGGGACCTCTATTTCAGAACTGTCGTTCGCGGTACCGGCGAATTCTGTCTACCGTTAAAAGAGAAATTTGGGACTGATAAAAAGAATTGGTATTCATCCCGTACGACACGCCCGGCCACCAAGCCGATTTGCACGAAGAGGTCGCCGAGCCGTCGCTCCCTTCTCGTGGCTGAAGACAACGCTCGCGCAAATGTCAAGCACGACGTGTCTACTTCGAGTTGAATATGCACGCGTACGATTTCTTTACTAGGTGCGAATGTCCCCGAAGCGTGGTGCTTCCCGACTTCGACCCGGGAGTGCTTTTGCTAGAGAAAAATGGACAGCAAACTTTCCAACTTACAGTTTACAGGCTGAATTATTACTAAGGAAAGAGATCCACCAAAAACGAGATGCCCCAGTAGCAGAAATTGCAGAAATGTCTACTTATTTCTCTATTCCCTGAATCACTATATCGCTTGAGTCCTTTCAATGCTCCTTTAAATTGTATTGCGGATGTTTTAAAAAGAGTGAAACGTATGCCTATACCACCAAAGTGCAAGTCGTTCTTTTTCCGCTTTCACTCCCGAACGATACCGGTGAAAGAGTGGCGTGAATCCCGAGGATTCGATGTATTTTGGAGCACTAACTGCAGATTGTGTAACACCACTGAATCATTCACTCATGCATTCGTCCAGAAAACATGTTCCAGAAAACATCTGGTGCTGGGGGCCACCATAGAAGTAGGCAAAGTAGTGAGCTGGCTACATTACAAAGGAATCTACAAGTTCCCCAGATCACTGTCTCTAAATAAGTGGCAGTTTCTTGCAGTCATGGCCACTTTTGTGACATTCTCCTCACTTGTTTTCAGACGTGCAGTGTAAAAGTATCGCAGAAAGCAACCTGGGTGAGGTACCTTCTAGAAAAGCAGCAATAAAATAATTGTGTGAGGCTGACGATGACAGTCCAATAGCCAGCATCAAGGCTGTGACTGGTATTGACCCCAAGATACCCGAGACTAGTGGCGATGTCAGTGATGATGCCACAAGTACCAGAACAGGCCGACGAAGCAGTGGTATAAGGGCCGGCACAAACAGTAATGTGCAGCTGAGCTGACAAGTGTGAAAAGGAAAAGGCCACATAGCCATAGAAGCTGTTTCGGCTCGTTGAAGCAGCCCAACGTGCCCCACTAGAGCACTCGGAAGATGCGAGTCGCAGTAGCAGTGCCACGAAATGTTGGAGAAGCAACTGCTCGCATTGCGCAGAAAGTCGAGGGAGTAACTACGTTCAGTAAAGAAGGCGGTCATCGTCTTAAAGACGAAAATCGATTTCGTCGCTGCAAATCTTATGGAGGCGAAGGAATTGTGAGAAGGGAATAGAGTTGATTTGGGATCTAGGATGGATCAAGGAGTAAAGAAGGTAGCTATGGCTGTCAGTGGGTTTATAGTGCACAAAGGTGTGGAACCTGTGACCGTCACTAGTGACTTTTAAGTCTAGGAAGTTGACAGCGCATTTCGATATCAGTGAGGTAAACTTGAGGGAGGGGTAGGCGTTACAGAGTGCAGACCACCACGTTTCCACCCTTATTGGCTGGCTTGGTTACGAGGTTAGTGCGGTTTCGAAGGGAGTTTAGAGCAGTAACTTCTTGTGGGGTTGCGTTGCGGTATTTACAGATTAGTTTGCTAGAGGAGTTGGCAAGAATGCTACGACATGCTTTGATTGACCTGTCAGTTTCAGGATGTTTGGCGGGAAGCAGGGTCCGGATAGTAGTCTTTGGGTTAATGGTGTCGAACATGGTGCGATTAAAGTTAGACGGATGCTGGGTGAAGTGGGCATCTAAAAGTAGGCATCAGAAGAATTGTTTGCTGTCCACATGTAAAAACAAAAAAGGGTAAGGTCGGCTTTGAAGTGCAGGAACGAAGGACGGGCCCTTCGATAAGATAACGTGTTCAGGGGCAGTGAGGGGTAAATCGTCTCGTATGGCGACATCATCAATGCGTTGGACGGCAGCCTCATCATTTCGGGGCAAGAGAGTGTATAGTTTCCTTGATTTACAGGTGAGACCATCGGCATAGAGATATGAGTTGACTTCCAGAATTTTGTGAACAAGTTTGCATGAGTGTGAATCGAAAGATGAGTCAAGGGACTTGAGGAGTCTTAGCGACGGTGAGCGTTTGGCGTAACTGGGCACAGTGGTCATTTAGATGTGCCTTCACTAGCTGGAGAGCAGCATTATCTAATATTTGTGACACTTTTGAAGGGCCGGAGGAATTCTCATTGGCAGGTTGTAAGGAGGGCCGGTGTGTTTGCACGCAAGACATGTCGGAGTGCCGCACGGCGTGGTACCAGGGAGCAAAGTCTGAGGCTTTGTGGTCTGGTTGCTGCATACAGGAAGGGATCATAACTTGGGCTGTCGATAGGAAGTTAGGGCGGGTGCTTTAGAAATAACTGTAGGGTGTTCGAGGCGTGAAGTGGTTTCCATGATTAGTTTGCCGAGCCTGAGTACGGAGGGATGGAACGTAAAGATGAGGGGGTTTCGGAATGGTTGCTGCATACTGGAAGGGATCGTAAGTTAGGCTGTCGATAGGAAGTTAGGGCGGGTGCTTTAGAAATAACTTTAGAGTCAATAAGGTGGGAAGTGGTTTCCATGATTAGTTTGCCGAGCCTGGGTACGGAGGGATGGAACGTAAAGATGAGGGGGTTTCGGAATGGTTGCTGCATACTGGAAGGGATTGTAAGTTGGGCTGTCGATAGGAAGTTAGGGCGGGTGCTTTAGAAATAACTGTAGAGTCTTTGAGGTGGGAAGTGGTTTCCATGATGGAGGGATGGAACGTAAAGATGAGGGGGTTTCGGAATGGTTGCTGCATACTGGAAGGGATCGTAAGTTGGGCTGTCGATAGGAAGTTAGGGCGGGTGCTTTAGAAATAACTGTAGAGTCTTTGAGGTGGGAAGTGGTTTCCATGATTAGTTTGCCGAGCCTGGGTACGGAGGGATGGAACGTAAAGATGAGGGGGTTTCGGAATGGTTGCTGCATACTGGAAGGGATTGTAAGTTGGGCTGTCGATAGGAAGTTAGGGCGGGTGCTTTAGAAATAACTGTAGAGTCTTTGAGGTGGGAAGTGGTTTCCATGATGGAGGGATGGAACGTAAAGATGAGGGGGTTTCGGAATGGTTGCTGCATACTGGAAGGGATCGTAAGTTGGGCTGTCGATAGGAAGTTAGGGCGGGTGCTTTAGAAATAACTGTAGAGTCTTTGAGGTGGGAAGTGGTTTCCATGATTAGTTTGCCGAGCCTGGGTACGGAGGGATGGAACGTAAAGATGAGGGGGTTTCGGAATGGTTGCTGCATACTGGAAGGGATTGTAAGTTGGGCTGTCGATAGGAAGTTAGGGCGGGTGCTTTAGAAATAACTGTAGAGTCTTTGAGGTGGGAAGTGGTTTCCATGATGGAGGGATGGAACGTAAAGATGAGGGGGTTTCGGAATGGTTGCTGCATACTGGAAGGGATTGTAAGTTGGGCTGTCGATAGGAAGTTAGGGCGGGTGCTTTAGAAATAACTGTAGAGTCTTTGAGGTGGGAAGTGGTTTCCATGATGGAGGGATGGAACGTAAAGATGAGGGGGTTTCGGAATGGTTGCTGCATACTGGAAGGGATCGTAAGTTGGGCTGTCGATAGGAAGTTAGGGCGGGTGCTTTAGAAATAACTGTAGAGTCTTTGAGGTGGGAAGTGGTTTCCATGATTAGTTTGCCGAGCCTGGGTACGGAGGGATGGAACGTAAAGATGAGGGGGTTTCGGAATGGTTGCTGCATACTGGAAGGGATTGTAAGTTGGGCTGTCGATAGGAAGTTAGGGCGGGTGCTTTAGAAATAACTGTAGAGTCTTTGAGGTGGGAAGTGGTTTCCATGATGGAGGGATGGAACGTAAAGATGAGGGGGTTTCGGAATGGTTGCTGCATACTGGAAGGGATTGTAAGTTGGGCTGTCGATAGGAAGTTAGGGCGGG